CTTGGCACAATATCCCACGCTAATGACGTGATACATCTTGTCGTGCCCTCTGAAATGAATGGACTTGGAAACAAAACCTGCTTCCTGTTCGCCTCCTTTGTGACCTCTGAGGATCTGTAAGAAGTTACTGTGAGTAATCAGCCTTTTCCTTCCCCAGCGCCTGGCATTAGATATTTGGAGTATTTCCCAGGGCAGTTTGCTGACCATCAGTAACTACAACCTAATTTCTCACTGAGCAGGGCAGGTGCAACGGCACTTTCAAGCAAGACTCTTTCTAGTCTGAAAAGCCACGAAACCAGGGGGGTGGAAAATAATTGGCCTTGGCACCTATCCCAAATGATAGGTCTCACTTACGGACAGCAAATGCATTTTAGCTTCTGTTTTCCCCATCTGTTCTTAGGTTTTCCTCCCAAGCTGGTTTTCCCTCCACTACATCTTTAAGATGTCAGATGAAATGTGAGAAAGGAGAATGCTGCTCTAAACACAGCTTTGATAAAAAGGCCAGTCATGATGAGTGGCAAAGAAATAGGGCATCAACTCATCAACTGTGATAAGCAATTACTATACACGTATTTTGTAGCTGTCCCTGTAATTCATTTTTTCTATCTCAACCAATGTTTCAGGTGTATTAATGGATGCAATAACTTTATACACGCTTCAGACAGATTTATTCATCACCGCTCGAACTGTATCCTTATTTTTGCACTGTAGGATTTGCTTTGATCACTACTCTTTCAGGAGGCAGAGCTACATCTTGCGTGAAAAGCAACATATGCATATCGTTTTGGCAGTTCAAATATGTATTGACCAAAGCCTGATTTCAGGATTAGCTGTTCATGGGAAGGCCAGCTAGAAGGGCTTTCAGAGTCAGCCGATATTCAGCTTTACATTCCTTTGAAGGAAAAACAGAAAGAGGGGGGGAAAAAGGGCATACACGATGGTATTTGAGAAATATGTAACAGCATGAATACTTCTATTAAAGCAGCACAAACAACACACTTTGGAGCTATTAAACAGCCTGAGGTAAGGCAACCCTGAAAATAAGGCTGAACCGAAGCAATGGCTGTAGGTGGTTATCCGTAACCATGAAGGTGAGTGCTGCTCCTCAGTAGAGCAGCCCCCAGCTCCACTCTCAGACCACCTCAGCCATGCACAAAGATGCCACAGAGTCCACCCAGCACTGGTGTTCTCAAAAAGATGAGGAGAGATGGAATACTTTGTTGGCACTGGCACAGGGTGCCCAGAGAAGCTGGGGCTGCCCCATCCCTGGCAGTGTTCAAGGCCAGGTTGGACACAGGGGCTTGGAGCAACCTGCTCTAGTGGAAGGTGTCCCTGCCCATGGCAGGGGTTGGGGCTGGAGGAGCTCTAAGGTCCCAGGGCCCCACCACCCTCACAGGGAAGAGCTTCTGCCTTGTATCTGATCTAAATATCCTAAATATCTAACCTATTTTCAAGGAAGAGTTTGGAAACTGTGGCTATGCCAGATGAACTGAGCAGACAGCAGACCACACACTTCTCAAGGAGACAAAGATAGGTTGTCCCCCCATCACCGCTACAATCCTACACAGCTCACTACAGGTTATCAAACCAGATCAGTGAGGGTGGGAACAAGGAACAAGAGTGGCATGACTGCAATACCGACCTCAGCAAGCAAAAATCAACGTCGCTATGTAGGTTTCGCATACCAGGGGTGTTCTAGATGGACATCAGACCTACCTCTCATGTATTAAAGAAGCTGTTCTTCCCCCGTAAGGTGCCACAGCGCTGTGCTTTTATTTGAAATCAAATCTAGAACAGATTAAGTATAAAAGGGGAAGAAAGTGCCTTTTTCTTTTTTCTTTTCTTCTTTTCATGAACGAGGGGCAGTGGTGGTGATGGGGATTCAAGAACAGAAAATGGACATCCACAGCTAAAGCTTTGCCACCTACTGACCTGTGGCATGATGGCAACTCTCTGGCAGACAGACTGGTGAAACATCATCAGCTATTTATCAGGATAAGGCTTAGCTTAAGCAGCAGGATGTAATGCTGCCCAGCAGGTACTCTGCTGAATGCATTTTGGGAGCCCTCGCACATGGCACTCTGCCATTAAAAGCCAAGAGATGCCCAGGCAAATTCCCACAGGTCCCTTTGGGAAGGCTGACACTGAATTTGCCAGCCAGAATTTTAGTCATCCACTCAACAGCTAGACTCCAGAAGCATAAGATGAATAGGTAGCTATGGTGAACTTTGAAGCCTGCAGGTCAAAGTTCTCTCTCATTATCCCCACCATTTTCTATCGGCGCAGCTCCTCAGCATCCCAAGGGACGGGAAGGTTTGAGGCTCTTGAAAAAACCTGACATGACCAAGTCAGAAAACAGTAGGGTGCTTATGTACATGTATTTTTCTGTCCCCATTTTTCTCTCCCCCCACTTTCTTGAAAAGAAAGAATATGAATTTAGCTATTGTGTCAAACGTCAACCCGGTGGCATTAGTAGTTACTCATTTAGCTGGCACAATACAGCAGTCATTTCAACATGCTGCCCTGCCAAACAGGCCTGACCCTTCCAGGGACACCTCCTCTGTAAGAAAGTACTCATTTTATTCTTTACTCCCCAGCCCAAAACCTTTCATTTTGTAGCCAATCCTTTCAAGGAGGATGACAGGGCTGATTTCTGCAACATGGACACATTCCCTGTATTAAAACACCACCTTCATGCCTGAGCTGCCACTGAACACATTGAGCCACTTCTGGCCAGATCTCTAGCAATACTGAATACAGGGCTCCCTATCAGCCATTCAATATCATAACAGGTTCTTCCAATGCAGGTGTTAGGATCTGACTTTTGTCACAGTTCTCTGTGTGGGAAAACCCATTCACTCAGCAATACCCAAGGGGAAATTCCAACTGTCCTGCCTATAAAGTTGTGTACAAACTATAGCAGGAATTGACTTCAAGAATCTAGTTCTGCCTCTTCCTCCCACCGGGGTTGGCACAGAGCAGAGAAGATGCTGCTCACATATTACTACTGCCTGATGGATGAGGAATGCTCAGCAGGGTGTATGGACAACAGTTAAATGACAGTAAATAGTCCACTGACAGTATGTAGCACAGTGACTCTTTGAAGGCTGAAGACAACAGAAAGCTCTACTACTACCTACCCACATACAGCCAAGGAGAAGTAGCACATTAAAACCTCTCCAATCTGTGCAAGGAGGGCTGCGCAAATGGAAGTATGGAGCCATGTACCTTTTTATTGAGGTGGGGGGACACGGTGGGGGATAGAGGGAAACAATTACAGGCTAGTAATTACTTCTTCTTTAAATGGATTCTCTCTAATCTCCAATGGATTTACCTCTAATCTCAAAGTAATTACCTCTAATCTCAATGGATTCTCACTCTAGGGGACACTAAGCAGCTGTAGGGAAGCCCTCAGAGAAGAAGTACTCTATTGTCTGCAAGAGGCAAGGAAAAACTAACACATGCACAGCCACTGCCAGGAACAATAGAGCACTTCCACAAAGCAAGGAAGGGATTTGGGCACCAACAATGGCAGCTTGAGTCCTCCTTGCTTGATGACCCAGAGTTGGCCAACACAACCTAAGGGAAACTCATGTGGGAGTTCCATGGGGAGCATGCAGTATCCATGCTCCCCTTCCGTAAGCAACACCAATACACAATACAGGTATTTCAGGACTACTTGATGGCAGAATACCCTAAATTCACAGGCACTGAGAGTGGCCAAAGAGGACAAACTTGTCCAGTTTCACAAAAGAGAACAGTGAAAACCTTGCTGCAGAACCCAGTGGCTGAGGGACAAGATTTCTGATAGAAAGCAGCAATGTTTTGATGTTAGCTGTCATCTAACATGAAATAATTCTTAAGAGACATGGACATAACATCAAGAACGACAGCAAAGCATTATTAGTCAGGGCCTGAGACTATGAAATCTTGTGTCCAGCCAGAGAAAGTGCTAACATTCAGCAGACAGGGAACAGCAAGTTGGTGCAAGCACAGCATCAGGTGGCCATGCTCCTCAGACATCACCCGGCTAAAGCAGAAACTCCCTGCCAGTTCCACATGCAGGTCTATAAGCCCCACATCATCTGTAAGCCCCAGAAATGCATCTGATCAAAACCTTCATTTTTCACTCCTTAATGAAAAATTGCCCAGGAGCTCAAAATGACCAATAGGTTTAGAAACTACTCCTATAAACAGTACAACCGGCCACCCTCAGGTTTCCCTGTGTGCTATGATGATAAAATATAAAGCCAGGTAAGATTCTCAAGAGCTGGGTGAGGGTCACACCATGTTTTTTGTCAAATTTTACCACTGCTTGTACTACAGAGCAAGCGAGGGAGCTGGAATCCCCTGGGAGTTCCAAGATCTGGAGTCCCCACATTGCCTCTGACTTTCAAAGTGCTCTGGCAGGGATCGAGCTCTGACAAATCTCACTTTTCCTCCTGCTGGCACGGTTGGGGCAGAAGAGGTGGGCTACAGATCACTGTGCTCCTTCCACCCCCAAAACCAGACCTAAGGGCTGTGTTATACACTCATTGAGGAGGGACACACCAGGTCTTTGGGCAGACACAATGAGAGATGCCTTAGTTGAAGTTTTATGGCACGTGTTTTAATAGCTAAGCCATTTTTAAAACAAACCATAAGCACTACTCAAATACCAGAACTTTCCTCACTCTTTACTACATCTAGGGCACGTTTTTCTTAGAAAATGCTTCTGGTTTTTAACAAAGTCTGGGAAAACATCAGCACAAAACAAAGGTTTAAACCATCTCTTGAGGTGCAAGAGAACCCCGCTTCAGGGGCATCAAAGGAACTCAACTGTACTCAGCCTTGCACCAGGGAGTTTTATTTCAGATTATGCCTTTTTCAGAGGGAGAATTAAGAGAGAGGAAGAAGTCGCTCCACCAAAGGGGGCTCAACAAAACCACATCAGACACACTTGCTACCACTGCTTTATAAGGGCCTGATGCTGCTGAACATGCAGAGTGTGGTGTACTCACATGTAAACTAGGATGGTAGGTCAGCACACCGTTGTCGCACAACGTCACGTATTTCTTCTTCCATTCTTTATTCAGTGACTTGCCACTTCTTTTTAGCAGCATACCCTATTGGAGTAGAGAAGGAACAATACCATTAACACTCTTTTGCCAACACACAACTGCTGAAGACACTGAAAGAGATAAATATTACTGACAATTTTAGTAACTTTCTTCTGCAAGTTACTCATTTTCTCCTGCTTCTCCCAGGGTGCACGTTTACCTCCTGGGCAGCTTCAGTGTTTGCAATTGATGAGAAAAAGCTCTAAATGAGGCTTTCATAAAGCAAGTAAAGTAAACAGAAAAGGCTGTAACAGCCCTGGCTTTATTCAACGGGTAGAGAATCACACAATCCCAGCCTGGTTTGTGTTGGAAGGGAGCTTAAAGCTCCTCCAGCTCCAACCCCTGCCACGGGCAGGGACACCTTCCACTAGAGCAGGTTGCTCCAAGCCCCTGTGTCCAACCTGGCCTTGAACACTCCCAGGGATGGGGCAGCCACAGCTCCTCTGGGCACCCTGTGCCAGCGCCTCAGCACCCTCACAGGGAAGAGCTTCTGCCCAAGAGCTCATCTCAGTCTCCCTTCTGGCAGGTTCAAGCCATTCCCCTTGTCCTGTCCCTACATCCCTTGTCCAAAGCCCCTCTCCAGGTTTCCTGGAGCCCCTTTAGGCACTGGAGCTGCTCTGAGGTCTCCCATTAAGGAGCCTTCTCTTCTCCAGGCTGAGAGGTAAAAACCCTTTTGCACTGAATTCCAAGCCTCAGGAAAGCACATTTTCACGTGACACCAAGTTGAAAAGGACACAAAGCTCAGTGCATTTCCTGGCCCTCTAAAATAAGTGATGCACCCCAGGCTGAGTGAGGATCCTACTGCGAGGCTTGTGCTTCCTTCAGCATGTTCCCAGGGATTCGGTTTTGCCCAGGCTCAGCCTCTCCACAAGCAGGGAAGAGCATACATTTGTATGTTCTCATTCCCTCCTGCAGTAAGGTGCCATTGCAATGGGAATCCTCCAAGTTATTCATTCCAGCAAGAGATGACAATTCCAGGCAGGAGCAACAAAATGGAAACTGGTCAAATACGCAGTTTTCCCAATAAATTCTGGATAATTTAATGAAAGAGGTGTGACCAGAAAGGTGGCTCATCTTCCCACACACTGTATTCAACCTAAACATCCCTGATGACTGCTAACAATCCACACTTGAGATGAAGTCATCGTTGTGTTCAAAAGGACAAGGACTACTACTGCATATTAACCCATTTTCAGCTTAAATATAGAAAGTCACTTAGAAAAGCAAAACATAACATGAATGAATTCATACAGTACTTTGGTTACTGAAAGTCTTCCTGAAATGTCCCTGTGGAGACACCACGTACAGTACCTACCGTACCAGTTCCACAGATCAAGTTCCAGTAAAGGAAGACACTTAGATTAATTTCATGAAATCATAAACCTACAGCACAAATCTAAACTAATACAACCTTCAGTTCTCTAATCCCCATAAAAGTAGTTTCTCCATTCTCATTTGCCACAGAACTTAAAACAAAAGAAGTAAACAGGACACAGACAGTTGCACTATCAAGCATGGTGCACGGAGTTGTGTTGGTTGAGGTGGGTTACAACCTTGAAAGCAAGTTGTGCTGAGAGGACATGGGGCAGTTCTGCACAAGAAGTCTTTATGCAGAAATAGACAAATTCCAGATGTTATAAGTTCGTTGTCACAATCGACATGAACTAACAACTCCCCTTTTGCAACCAGATTGATGATCCCAGTTGGAAAAACCTAGTTCACAACTGCCTGGTGCTGACCACACGCTCTCAATAGAGCTTCAGAGAACAACCCTTCCCACGTCACAGCAACCTGTGGATGAGACCATAAGGAAAAGCTGGTGCTGGATGACTGACTTACACAGTGGTACAAACTCCAGACTTGCTGGGGGTCACATTTCTGGGGTTTTTGGGCTGTTCTTTGCTACAACTCAAACTTTTCCAAGGAAGAATGGGGTTTCTGTAACAGCGTCTTACAAAAGCTTCTGCGAGCGCGACTCGCACATCCCAATTACTGTCTTCCAGTGCTTAGACGTTGTTTTCTTCTATTAAAAAATGAAAGCTTATTCCTGCCTTTGACGTGTGTGTGTTTGTCTATAGTAGGTGATCTGTCGCTTCACCTTTCCCATCTTTCATACCTCACCTGCAGCACATTTGCTCGCATTTAGGGGACCCAATTCTAGTTACGGTTGTGCTGCGGGGATCAAAAATTACTGTTTCCCTGCAAGGGTTTGTTCTTCAGACCTTTTAATGGGGAAAAAGCTGCAAAGATCAAAAGATCACAACAGTGATTCCCTCCCCCGCCCCCGGCCTTTTTCTGCAGTTTTGAAGAAGGCAAAAAATATGTATTTCACCCCTTTCTAACTGGCCCTTTGCCATCTAGAAAACATGTCATGATTTAGGTAGTTTTCAGTTCATGCCAATAAATAGTAAAAACCTACCACTTTCATGATTTTTACTACACTGAAGTTTTGCTGCTCTCGACGTGTGAACTATGAAATTCAGGTTTTGGACCGAAATGAAGAAATTGATTCAAAATCAGGTTTCACACCTTGATTTTCAAGCAGAATTCTGTGCTTCCATGTAAAAAAGCTACAACCTCAGCACTAAATATGGATGATGTACCTATTTATGCCTTACTAACAAACCAGATTTCCCAATCCACTTCCTTTAGGCTCTACCTTGGCAAAAAGAACAGATTTTTCTATTAGGTGAGAATGAAAACTATCTGCCAGAGGAAACTGCTCTGAATCACAGCCTAGTTAAGGAAAGGACCTTAAGACCATCAAGTTCCAACCCCCAATGCAAGGAGCCAATGTGAAGTGTTATGGAGCAGAAGCCCATGTACCATAAAACGCACTTTTCTTTCCCCCAAGGCCAGAGACTACCACTTTGTCTGGGGTAATTAGATAGAATGGTCCAGAGAAATGCTCTTAGTAGGGGAGTTAGTTATAAACTGACATCAGTTGACATCAGTTATAAATGCACTTTAACAGTAACTAAACTTAAAAAAAGAAACCAACACTCCCCCCCCCCAACAGATGGCCCACATATGACAAGAAATGTTATTAAAAAAAACAATAGAAAAAGCCCTTCACTTCAGTCACATTATGTCTGCATTTAAGTCACATCAGATACTCTCACGTAGGAAACCAGATACATGGTTCCCACTGACCTTTGGTACTTTCAAGGCAATTTAGAGGTAGATTGGACACATCTCCAGTCACAGCCAAGCAGCCCCCACATACACACAGCACATCAGAGAAATCACATTTAGTCTCCAAGCGACGTAGTAAGGGACAAAGTAAATCAAATTCCACTTCAAAATACAGATTTAGTCCCCCCCCAATAATCTCTGCCTGAAATTATCACTAATTGGATAACATTATTTCTCCTAATGTGTATGAAATCTGCCATTCGTTACAGGCTTCCCCCTGCAGTTTGGTCTTGGCTAAACCAAAGCCTCCAGACTCAACACTGGGAACTTAACACCTCTGATTTCCCCATGAACTGCGGAGAATTTCACACTTCAAATTCAACTCTTTTACCACCTCCTCTCCAAAACTGCCAACGCCGTGTCTGAGGAAGGAACGTTTCTCCTACCAGCCTGCACCAGCTTGTACTTCCGATGAGCCACAGGAAAAAGACATCAACCGGAGTGCACGAACCTCACTTGTTGGGTTTTGGTGGCTCGAGGAACTGCGTCACCGTACACAGCAATGGAGGAACTGCCTGTATGTGCTGCGAGCTCTTTATTAGTAATGTGTATGCTATGCCTAGTCCCAGGAGGTCATTGCAAGCCAAAAGCAATGTTAAGTGTACAAGCTTTAAATAACTTACAAAGTTAATGTAATGAATGTAAGTGTTATCTGAAATCCATCACTCAGTGGCTTGCTGTAGCCTCAAGCTGTGATAAAACACCACTCATAAATTTATATTAAAACTCTGTTCGATAGCAATTATTTACCAACAAAGATTTATTGATTGCATTTGCTGTTAGAGACTGGGGCCCTAACTGAGTCAATCAGCTTAACGTTGTTGAGCTTCAGGGCACCAGGAGAAGTTACAGACTGCCATCAGGCTCTGCATCCCAATCATTACTGTGTGAGCAGGAGCAGCTAATGAAAAGCCACCAGTGTAGAATTGATTTGACTTAAGGTAAGAAAAACACACCCAATGCGGGTTAAGGGACCACTACACAGAATATACACAGTTCATGTGAATACGTAGTAATTGGTTAAATCTCGCCCCTCCAGATGCCTTCCCGTGAGCTACGAACCTTGCTTGTTTAAACAACAGATGAAGAGAAATGGTGAAGCAATTATGAGTTTGGTTTTGGGAAGTATTTCAGGTATTAAGCAGGAAATGATCAGAGTTTAAAAAAGTGACCTCATGAAGTTGCTTAATGCTACACCAAAGATGCTGCAGGTGAGCTGCCTCAGTTTTCTGCTACAGATGGTAGCAGAAGGGACTTACATACTTCCCACAAATACAGGCCATCAAAATGCAGATGCTGATCACAGAATCCCAGAGTGATTTGGGTTGAAAGGACCTTAAAGCTCCTCCAGCTCCAACCCCTGCCACAGGCAGGGACACCTTCCACTAGAGCAGGTTGCTCCAAGCCCCTGTGTCCAACCTGGCCTTGAACACTCCCAGGGATGGGGCAGCCACAGCTTCTCTGGGCACCCTGTGCCAGCGCCTCAGCACCCTCACAGGGAAGAGCTTCTGCCTCAGAGCTCATCTCAGTCTCCCCTCTGGCAGGTTCAAGCCATTCCCCTTGGCCTGTCCCTCCATCCCTTGTCCAAAGCCCCTCTCCAGGTTTCCTGGAGCCCCTTTAGGCCCTGGAGCTGCTCTGAGGTGTCCCCTTCAGGAGCCTTCTCTTCTCCAGCTGCCCCAGCCCAGCTCTCTCAGCCTGGCTCCAGAGCAGAGCTGCTCCAGCCCTCGCAGCAGCTCCGGGGCCTCCTCTGGCCTCGCTCCAGCAGCTCCACGTCCCTCTTGTGCTGTTCCCCAGAGCTGGATCAGGGCTGC